GGCACCCTCCGATAGTACCCTCGAGGACATAGACCCTCTCAGCTCCACTTACTCTCTCTGTCCGTGTGTCGCGATACGTATTGTATTGTTACATTTCTAATAACTTGCTACCAAGAAAGAAATCAGTTTGGGAAACCGGATCTTGGAACGCAATTCTCAGAAACAAGTTGTTGTGAAGTGTTATAACTTTTTTCAACACCAATTGAATAATTACGTCTTCGATAATAGCTGCGTTCACACGAGACTCCGTATTTATGAAATACGGTATTTGCGAGATACCGAATCTGAGACAAGTTCGCGACCGAGCGTTCACACGCTGATTCGCGGCTCCAGAAATGCCGTATTTGCGAGCTGCGAGCTGCTTTAGTACAATGGAAAAAAAACAATGCATCCAAGCGAACAATCAAGCGAACAATGCGAAATAAACAATCAGTGCACAGCAACTGCCGATAAAATACGTAAACTGGTCCGGGCTCGACATACTCGCATTACGCGAGTGTAAAGGGCCGGACACACCAGGCGATTGCATCGGGCGATGGCATCGGCCGATGGCATCGCCGTGAAATCGCCTGGTGTGTCCACTCAATCGCCGCCGATTTCATCGCCCGATGCCATCGGCCGATGCCATCGCACAGATCAAAACGTTTTGATATTATCGCCGATGCCATCGGCCGATGCCATCGCCCGATGCAATCGCCTGGTGTGTCGCGACCGGCGATAACATCGCCCGATTGTACAATTCATCAGCCAATCAGAGTTCATCAGCCAATCGCACTGCGCGCGCAAGAATCGGGCGATGCCATCGCCCGATGCAATCGCCTGGTGTGTCCACGACTGCGCGATAGAATCGGGCGATGCCATCGCCCGATGCAATCGCCTGGTGTGTCCGGCCCTTAACTGTCGAGCGCGGACCAGTATATAAAATACGCGGCTTCAGAAATTCGGTATTTAGCGTTCACACGAGGAAATACGCGGTCCAAGAGATTTGGAATTTCTCAAGCATGGCAAATAATTCGGCATCTGGGAAGCCGCGTATTTCAACAAATACCGAATCTATTTAGATTCCGTATTTCTTGGACCGCGCATTTTGCCTCGTGTGAATGCTAAATACCAGGGCTCGAATTAACCGACGGCACCGACGGCAATTGCCGGCGGTGCCCCTATCAATCGCCGTACTGCCCCTGAAAATCCAACCCGACCGACGGCAGTGACCTGCCTTGCCCTTTTCTGTAATTGCCGTCGGTGCCTCTGCCTCTGGCTAGACTGGTTCGCGGCCGCGACTGTTTGTCGCAGAGCGTGTACATTCTCTAGCAGAGCGTGAGGCCGGATACCAGTCTACCCGGCGGCAAAAAACAATAACGTGGTATTGCTGCCAACCGCTGCCAGTAGACGATCGATAAATAGTGCACCTGTGTATGCCCGTGGTAGAACACGAATATTTAAATGCTGCACGCCCGGACTCGGCCCGCGTGCGATTTAAAGCGCGGGAAACGACGCTCGCGCAAGAATGGCCAGTGATCTGTACGGTGTGTAGCTTAATTGCTAAGTGCAGTAAATTTAGAGAAATTTTAGTATAATTCATACGATGACACAAAGTTTTCCATAACATTAACAATGGCCTTGGTGCCCTTCTCAAATTGTGAGAGTTGCCTTGATGCCTTTTAAAATTGCCTCGGTGCCCATCCATTTTAGAGAAAATTCAAGGCAATTTCTCACATGCCCCCAAAAAATTGCCTTGCCTCTCTTGTCGCTTAATTCGAGGCCTGCTAAATACCGAATTCCTTGATACGTGTGAACGCGGCTAATAATAGGTTTTCAAAATCTCATAACTTTTGAAGTGAATTATCTTGCAGTATGACATTTTAAACATGCTAGTCGTGATTTATTCATGGCGTTTCTAACAATGGGTGCATTGATGTGCACACGTTGCTTACTGTTCCTTCCTTCAGACCCTGCACTAGTAACGTCGTGTATAAAGGTGCACTCCATTGTAGTCTAAGCATGGCTGATAAGGTCTATGTCCCCCAGGGTACTATCGGAGGGTACCCTCGGTACGGTTCGATATATCGGAAAGTACATCGGGGTACTATACGATATATGTCGCTGCGTACCCTGCATTGTCCCACCGTACCCTGACTTGTAACCGATGTATTTCCGATATTGTAAAACTAAAATATAAAAGCTAGCTCTTCGTTTAAAAAAAGGGAAAAGAAAAATATAGTCAAACATAGCATACATTTTTATTGGATTGCGATGTTTTGAGGTTTCTTCTATGTGATGTGGTAACTTGACAGAGTGTATGTATTACGACATCAGTTGGCTGAAAGTCAGGGTACGGTGGGACAATGCAGGGTACGCAGCGACATATCGTATAGTACCCCGAGGTACTTTCCGATATATCGAACCCTACCCAGGGTACCCTCCGATAGTACCCTGGGGGACATAGACCCTATCAGCCTAAGCATGTGTGGTATGTGGCTACGCATCATTATAGTGTATAAGATTTATGACTATACTTGTCACACATCACTTGCTGTGTCCACACTGATCAACAAGGGTTGGTTCCGCTACGGTCGGTTTTCAAGGCTGTCTACCAGCAAGGCTGCGACGCAGCTAGGACAGTACAATAGCATTACTATGTTTTGCGGAGTGAATGGTTGAGGACTCAAATCAGTTTGCACGTAAGCAAGTTTTCCCAGCAAGGTAAAGTTTTAAAGGTAGGCAGCACTTGCTATTAAGATGCTGTCTGTTGTTTTACTTTCTGCTATAAGTGTAAACTGGTATTTAGTAGTATATTGGGAAAATGATATTTTTCATATATATGAAATTGTCATATATAATACAGTGTTTAATTCCCCTGGCCAAAAAAGGTCCGTGAGGTGGTAAATGTTTTTTGTGATGTGTTTGCGCATTTCGAGGTCCTAGCAAAGTAGGCAGCGCAGGTGCTGGCCAAGCCAGGCGGTCAGGGGGCATGTTCCCCCTGGAAATTTTTGAAAAAATGGTGCAATTTGGTGCATTCTAAGCTATTCTAAAAACATTGTATGAGACTCTTGAATCTAGCTCTTTTTCAAGTTTGCAAAAGTTTCGCTATGAAGCGGTGTTTTGGACAAATTTCTGTGTGGCAGCTGAGAATTTAAGCGAGGCTGCCCGCCTCGCTCAGGTCAATGCAGAGGAAACACTGTAATACATATCTCCTAGACCTCCTATATTTCCTATATGTCCTATATGTTTTATAGGCTTCTATAAAACTCCTATATTTTGACACAGCCGCCTATATTTCCTATATTTTGTGTGGCTGGCAATTTTTGGGTAACTTGTTAGGGGGAGAGATCATCTATTATGGCCGACTGAGTCTCTTGTATAGACAGATGTTGGACTTTCATTGCCAACTTCCAAGATCTCTTTGCAAAGTCATCTCTTTGTAACATTTGCAACTTTGCAACATTTGCAAGTGCATCTCTTTAAAAAGTCTATATCCTATTCCTGCAGACTGAGTATCTCTGAATTGTTTCAACTTAGAAACCTTCCAGGAGCCAAGGTTGTATGATTAATGTGTGCACAGCTTCTGCTCAATTCCTGAAAATGCCTATATTTCTCCTATATTTTGAAGGATATCTGATAACCTTCTATATTTCCTATATTTTTGTCTCATCAAGTGGGTAGGAGATGATAATAGCATGAACATATGTATCCTCAAAATACGTATGTTTATTGTAATAGTAGTACTCAGGATCATGAGATAAATTAAGGTGAGACTGAGTAGGAATATTAGTATGTTTCTGTTGAAACCATGATTTTAGCATTTTTTATCTAACCAATTGTTTATCAGTGCATGGTGTACTTGGCTCTCGGTAAAACATGTGCCAAAGTCACAAGTACTGCAGTCAGGGTACGTCTGGCTCGTTTTGTATAGTTACGGGGTGCGGTGAATTGGAGAGTGGCAAGCATACGCACGCACACACGCACGCACGCACGCACACGCACATAGACAGACATGCAGGCACGCACGCACGCACGCACGCACGCACGCACGCACGCACGCGCACACACGCACGCACGCACGCACGCACACACAGACACACACACACACACGCGCGCGCACACACACAAACACACACACCCACACACATACACACACACACACACACATGGACAAACATTTGGAAAAACGTGCCCATGCAGTTTGTACCCAAACTAGTGCACCCAAACATTCATACAAGGACACTGTCCCATACATATTAACGCATGCATGCACATACGCGCTCACACGCCTACACATGTGAATGTTCAAGAATAGTTGCAATGCGACCTTTTCCTTATACGGATCCGGTACAGACGGTTTGACCCAATTGCCTCTCATGGTTTAGAGGCATTTGTGCATGTGGCAGTGCTGCGTGTCCTAGAAGTACTGTGCGTGCGTGCGTGCGTTTCTGTCTGTGTGTGTGTGTGTGTGTGTGTGTGTGTGTGTAGTGTGTGTGTGTTGTGTGTGCGTTGTGCAGCTGTGTGTGTGTGTGTGTGTGCGTGTGGCGTGTGCGTTGGTGCGTGCGTTTCTGTCTGTTGTGTGTGCGTGGTGCGTTGTGCGTGTGCGTGTTGCCGTTATGTGTTGGTTGCGACGGCGTGAGAGCCGATGTGATGCGCAAATGTGCGCGCGGGCCGTGTGTGTGCGCTGCTCGGTGGCGTGCGTGCCGTGCGGGTAGTGTGTGCGTGTGTGTGCGCATGTGCGTGTGCGTGAGTGTGCGTGCGTGCGTGCGGGTAGTGTGTGCGTGTGTGTATTGAGGAGATGCATGGCATTATACAGGTCATAACATACAGCGAGAACGACATGTCTCGTGACGTCCCAGTAAAATCTGCTGTGGCAGCATGTGACGGCGAGCTATATCTACATCTATATATATATATATATATATATTATATATATATATATATATATATATATATATATATGCTGCTCCACAGGCTGTGAGCAGTCCTACCTAAATAACCGTCGTGGGGTGGGCTCTGGCTGCTGCTGCTGCCCACTCTCAGTTGGGGTGCAGCTATGGTAGCGAAGACATCAGTGTGCAATAACTTGGATGAAGAAAACGTGCTGTGATTGAATGAGATGTAGTATTGTGTGGCAAACCGCCAGCCAGCTATCACATGAGAGTCAACGTAGTTAACCACACGGTTAGTCAATCCTTAATAATACCTCGCATCAGAATTCTGTGTGGAAATGTTGTCTAGAATATATAGACGGCTTATTTTATATGTGTTGTCGCATTTATGGTACGTCTTTTGTGGAGACTGCCTTATAAATGTGGTAATGCTCAATGCTCATGCGTATATATGTGTTCTCACATACATTTATGCTTCTGTATGCTGCATGGCGATACTTTCGCTCGTAGGGTCTATGTCCCCCTGACCTCTGTTTGACCTGGTTCGTTTAGCTATTTCTGACTAACCCTCACCCTAACACCACTCACCCCTCACCCTCACCCTATATATATATTAGTCAGAAATAGCTAAACGAGCTAGAACAAACAGAGGTCAGGGGGACATAGACCTTATCTGCGATACTTTCCGCAGCTTTCTGACATTTTAGCAACATGATGAAGACGTGAAGCAGAAATGATATCTTGTTTAGACTCTAAATCTATTTCTGCTCAGAACCGCAAGTTCTTGAGTCATAATAGAATATAAATTTTAGAGATGGTCATAATTATAAGTCTGCTCTGTATTTGGTGGCGTTGCAGTGTCTAATACTGATTAAGTGAAGCGAGAAATTGATTCTTTTGCGCTATTATGTCCATATAGCTCTACCAATATTAGCCCTTTACTCTGCCACAGCTGGTGCTGAAGAAAAAAAGCTAATGTTGAATGCTCGAGCAGTTAATTATATTTTTTTACCCTTTTTACTTCCAAACTTTCCTTCATGTTCCTTTGCATGCCATCACACCCCTCCTCTCTCCATCAATCCCACCCCCTTCCTCTCTCCATCCATCACACCCCCTCCTCTCTCCATCCACCCAGTTCTGGTCATAATTGGAAGTCTGCGATGTGTCCTTGTGCAGTCGCATGAAGGAATGGCGTGTAACCAATCTCTGGAGAAAAAAAACTAGTGCAGTGAACGGACCGTCGGTCCGTCTTCATCGCTGAACCTGAGCGCGGTTAAAATTGGCCTTAGAAACACAGTCAACGCGACCTTGAGCGGCAGCAGCGGCCCGCACCAGCGCGCGCAGCCTACGTTCTCTCCCCACGTACAGGGCAAGAAGGCATGCATAATGTAAGTGCAACATTCACTGATTCGTGCTCAGCTTAACGTAGTGTAATTGATTAATAGTAATAGTTAACTTTGATGTCGAATAAGCCGCCACACCATTTGTTACCTGATCCTATGCCGCTATGGAGCCCACTACTCCTGAACCTAATTCTGAACCTCCATTGACATACGCGGAGCCTGAAGCGAAATCAGACAGCGAAAATCCGACGCAGGAACCTGAACGAAGGTTGAAAGAGGAAAAGAAAACGGAGGAAGAGGAGGACTCGCGTGGCTTCGCCCGAGGACTCCAACCAGAGTGCATCATCGGCGCAATCGAGTCCAGCGGAGAGCTCATGTTTTTGATGAAGTGGAAAGGCAGCAATGAGGTAAATTTGGTCCCAGCCCGGCAAGCAAATATTAAATGCCCCCAGATTGTAATCAGATTCTATGAGGAGAGAGTGACCTGGCGCACGAATGATAAAGACGAAATTAATGTGTAACTGCGAGCATCACTGCAACAGCAAGCAAGCTGTATAACGAACGACGCGGAGGAAGCCTACCAAAATAGCACACCGTGGCAGCAGCAGCAGCAGCAGCGAGGCAGCCGAGAAGATGCAGCCATTCAAACAGTTTGAAAAGATATACATTCTTCCAATAGGCCTATCTTGTAGGCAGTCCTTTTTCTGTGTGTAACAGTTGTATGTATATAAAGGTGTGAAGAAGATGAGACGTACAACATGCAAGTGTACTGTGAACAACGTGCAAACAGGCACGTACGTCAGTAACCGCGGACAGAACCCATGCAAGGATGAAGACGTCGTCAGCCACAAAGGGCAGCGACACCGGCATATCCGCCCGACAAGATGGTTGTAGTGATGATGACTTCGAGGGGGAAGATGTTCCACTCAGTCATTGCATCACACACCCAAGGCACAGGCTTAAGTGAATTCTACGAATCAACCGCAGCCGCCAGTGTCTTGTGCAGTTGACCCACTGGCCATGGATCCATCTGCAAGTGACATTGAGGCTCAGGAGCCTGATGACGCAATGATGACCCGTCGGAGGCGGAGAGTACAGCCACGAGCCTTGACATGGAAGAAGATTTATTTCAGAATACGGACGGTGAATAAGATTCGCAACCGTCCAGGAGGCGAAAGGCCTAACGGGAATCAAGCGAGTCAGATTCCCCAGTAGAGGCAGTTAAAAAGGGAAGATTAACAGCACAAGATAAACGTTATAACAATGGCAGTGTAGCGAGCAGAGCTAACTGCACAGGAAAAGAGGTAAACGTTATAACAACGGCAGTGAAGCGAGCAGAGCTAACTGCACAGGAAAAGAGGTAAACGTTATAACAACGGCAGTGAAGCGAGCAGAGCTAACTGCACAGGAAAAGAGGTAAACGTTATAACAACGGCAGTGAAGTGATCGAGGCTCACTGCACGAGAAGAGAACGACGGCTCTAACGAGGACGCATTTAATTGCGCCCACTGTCATGGTACAGGAGCCACTAGGATACGCCGCAGCAAGGCAAGAGGGCGGAAAGCGCCTAAGGAACAGAGTTAAAGGACTCTTGGCGAGTGCATGGACGAAACGTTGAGAGGTTCACTGTATCTCCTTCCATTGTGTCCGTGCCCCTACCCTACCACTCCGGCTTGGAATTAGCAGTACGCATAAAATTAGCACTGAGCACGCATGTGAGTGTTGTACGCGTATGTTTCACGGGGAACGCGAGAGTGAACACGATGATCATTGGTTACGGCTATCACGATGGTCATGAGTTATGATTATCACTGTTGTGCCCGCAGGCAATTTGAGTGTTATAGTACTTATACGCGCGATTTAATTTGAATGCGACTATGGCCATTACGATGATCATAAGTTGTGTTTATAAATGCGTTGGTTTGAATTTAATGTTTACACGCGTGTCAGTTACGTTGGTTAAGGGTACCACGTTAGTTAAGGCTTAGTTTAAGGAAAGATTTCGTTCACATATCGCGATCATAGTGCACGAATTCACGTAGTAGTAGTAGTAGTAGTAGTTGAAACTAGTTGTAAGCGCGAAACGCTATGCGCAACGGCATACGCGACATAATTGTACAAGTAGTACGGGGAACTCTTGGGATGCCTGTACCCACGGCCTTATGTCACCACGTACTTATGTTAGTTAAGGAAAGTCTACGTTTATATATCACGACAAGAGCAGATAAAGAAGGACTTCTTTATACGCTCTTGATCACGAGTATAGTGAATGAGTTTACTTCGTGATTTAGGACAAAAGTTATTGCCATTTGAGGGCAAGCAACTTTTTCTGGCAGAGGGCGAGTGTAGCAGCGTACTACGCGTGCTACGCGATTTTAAGCTATCTATTAAATTACCTCTAAGTTGAGTTATAAGTGTTATACTTAATACAGTCTATGGTTAACATATCCTACAGCACGATGACTTCATCGCTGAACCTGAGCGCGGTTAAGATTGGCCTTAGAAACACAGGCAGCGCGCACTGACCTATTATGTTATAGTGACCAAATCCTAGCGTTGTCGCAACCTACAACCATGTTTTAATTAACTTACAATGGAGTGGAATTTCCGTTATAACATACACCTCAGTAGCGCACAGAGCACGCGCCTAACGCGTGCCCTTGGTTTTCTAACTGCGTAGAAGGGCGACCGCGTAGTAAGGGCGTGGCCCAATGACCAGCCAGTTCTCCGGACACGTGACCCGGCCCTGTCCCCCATTGCAACAACACTACGGCCAAGCTATACGTACGCGTGATGGATATAAGACCCAGCGCGCGCCGCGACACGTAGTAGTTTATGCAGAACAGTTAGGAGTGTGAGTCCGCGCACGACGCGCGCGGGCGCGGGTTGACACCGCAAATCCGCGCACGGCGCGCGGGCAGTGGTGACAATTCAGCCGTCTTTGTGTAGTCCTACGTAGTCAATTCATGTAGTTCTATACGTAGAATAAATCATATAGTCTGTTACAACAAGACGTGTTATCTTTACTGTGATCTTCATCATCACTCGTTCTTACGTCACACGAGAGACAAAGAGAAGCTGACATCCTTTAAGCGGAAACGAAAACACGAAACGAACAACGAACTGGGTTTATAAACTAAGACATTAATACGATTATACATTTAATACGAATCAAGAACAATAACACAACGCAAGGTTAGAACATTACCACCTATACGATCACGTGCCTACACACAGTCGGGCACCTCCCGACGTGTCTCACGAACTGGCTATAACACTTGTACACCTAGAACCTTTGTACACAGTTTTATAACAGGTTATATGACCGTATTCTGCCCCCACGTGTGTTAGCTTTGGCAGAAACAATAAACATATACTGCTGGGCAAATATGCTGGGTTTACACTACCGACTTTATGTTGTCAAATTGGCGAATTGGACCAATTCCAACTAACCGACAATTGGCAGTGTAAATGCAAAAGTCGCGCGAGCAACTGGTCAATAGCTATTAGTTGGGAGATTAGAACATGTTTATTTTCGCCAACTCGGTGTTGCCGAATTGCGATATTGGTCTAAATCACCAATTTGACAACATAAAGTCGGTAGTATAAACCCAGCTTTATTTTGTCCAATGGTCGTTTCCTAACATTCAGCGATTTCTGTAGCTACTTAAAATCATCAGGTGTTCAGTACTGGTGGTCATAAATATGTGGACAAATGTGAGAATTTCTCCTAAACATGACTACAGATCCAAATAGCTGCACATGACGCACTTCAATAGGGAGAATAGGGAGTCGTCAGGTTACACACAATCCTGTATTCCCCCCTCCCCTACAAATAAGCTTGCATTCTTTAATAAATCCTAATATAATCGTAATCGTTTATTTTTAACCGTCAACCATTTTAATTTACGCTTGTTTTTATCTTTTCTTATATAATCATTAGCTTCTATTACCTTAGGAGCCTGTGAAACCAGCTTCTTAGCTTGAATTTACTTCTAAGGGGGGGTCACCTAATTCCCCACAACCCCATCCATCTAGCAACTAACATGCTAAAACTTTCCCTTGCAAATTTTCTGAAATATCCTTGACATTTCATTCGAATTTTAGTTTAATTAACACTCCAATGTGTGAATGACACGTTTTAAATGAAGATGGCATGCTAACGCTTTTTGCACCAACTGAGGGGCCAATTATTCCAAACAAGAACTTTCGAAATATACTACAGTGTCTTGCTACATCTACACCTTCATAGCTAACGTGGCTTCCCAAGTTAGAAAAAAATGCAACGTATTTCATGTTACAACCATTACCAGTCGTCTCGAGTCTCACATGTGTGTGCTATTGGCGGAGTAAGTGTGCTGGCTGTAGTATGGGCATCTGTGGGAGCAGCAGCAGCAGCAGTAAGCAATATTTGCTGTCATTCCCTTGGCACCTGTTAGGCGCATGTCTCCCGCTAGTGTATGTAGGCGGTGTCGCTAAATAAGGAGCGTGTGTAATGTATAGGTGTGTCTGGAGCGGCCGCTACTTCGTACCGTCGCGAAAAGGCACTGATGCCGTCATCAAAATCTGAGATTGAGTTTTTGTTAGCTTGTTACTGCGTAAGGCGTATGGTTTGATTTTGGGATTGGGGGCTGCTTGTACCTCGTTGCCTTCAACTTCTCGCTCTCCTTTTGCTGCAGACTTGAGCAATGTCTAAGGCGAGCAGCAGTTTGAAAAATGGGCTTGCTCCGAAATACGCAGAAAATGAGGAAGAAGAGGAGCGCGCGTGGGGAGTGGACGACACGGATGAGAACAAGGAGAGAGGAAACTGGTCGGGAAAACTTGACTTCTTCCTTTCGTGCGTAGGCTATGCTGTCGGAATCGGGAACGTTTGGAGGTTTCCTTACCTGTGCTTTCGCAATGGAGGAGGTGACGTCACCTGTTATACTTGTTCTACCTTTAGTTATCCACAGTCTCTTGTTGAGTAGTAGTTTGCATGTTTTTTGTGTATTTTTTTTGGTGTTGTCTTAATGTTATTCATTCTTGCGTTAATTATACGTTGCGTGTGTTGTATATATCTCTTTTTTTACACTACTTAGGTGGGGCCATTTGTCAAAACCACCATAAAAGTTCATTTAGATATCATAAACTATATGCTTTTATGCTATATGATTTATTGTTCTTTATTCATTACATATGTATTTCTGAGTATATTTACATTATAATTATTGTCACCATGCACGTTTATGAATGGTCAAACACAGCTAATGAATTAAATTTGCGTGATTTGTTAATAATATAGTAATTAGTATCTTTTCTTTGACCTATGTTCCCTTATTGCAGGAGCATTTCTGATTCCGTACCTGCTGGCATTGGTCATATGTGGCATACCCCTCTTCTTCATGGAAACAGCAATGGGACAGTTTGCTAGCGCTGGTGCCATTCAGATCTGGAAAATAGCGCCGATTTTCACAGGTTCATATATTGTCTCATGTTTAAATAGTTAGATTTTCCTGTGCACGATACTGTAGAAACCTATCTCTGTCTAATTGGCAACCATGCACGGGGCGGCAGGGCCAAGACTCCACATGAGGCCATAGTATCTACCCTAGGGCCTGTGCCACTCATCGCACCTCAGTCTCGCTCTCACATGCCTTCCTTCTTGGCACGTCCTTCCTATTTTTTTAGCGTCCTATTTTCGGCCTTTCATGGCATAAGCACTTGCATACTGTGTGTGTGTATAGTGAGTGCATGACCTCCTTCCCGAGCAGGCTTCTGTCCTGCGTGCCAGAATTTCACACTAGCAGTGAATCTCAAATCTCAAAGCTTTTTCTGTGCCCAGGTTGCGCCAAATTAAACAACTTGATAAAAAAAAGCTTGGTAAGAGGAAACGAATGACATTTGCAGTCGTAGCGCACCCGTTACCCTTCACATCCCACAGAACTTATTTTTAGCTCAGCTGACGAAGTCAGATGCAGCTTGTAGAATCGCATGATTGTCCGTCCGTGCGTCCGTTCGTCCGTCAACAGTTGGGCACAAATCTTAACCGCTCGACGTATGGTCTTGATATTCGGGACGTCAGGGGGTGGGGGGATCGCGAAAAGGAGGGGGAATATTTCCCCCTTCACTTAAGGTATAGGAGGAAATACGGAATTGCGGCACAAATCTCAACGGCTCGACCTACGCTCTTAATATTCGATGTATAGTGTGATGGGGAGGAAACCCATCACCAGCGCGAAATTGGAGATCACAGGTCAAAGGGTAGTGGGGGAAAGGTCAGGTATTAGACATTTTCTGAGGATATGGTCTAACGGACCGATTGCAAAACTTTTTTGTTTCAGCGCTGACCTACCATTTTTATCACTTTATTGAAAGGACCATGAAATCTACTTTCCACTGATGTGCGAAGAGTAAGTGTCTAACCTTTTGACCGTCAAGAGGAGGGTTAAACATGGATTTGTTGACTGTTAACAAAGGACTGAACTGCTTTTGCTATTAGAGCAATTTGAATTGAGCAATTTTATGAATTTCAGTATTTGTGCTTTCTAGATTTTTACCAGAGAATATCCATCCGTTCTTGTGAAACCTTTCTGTAAATTTTCGCAAGTTGTGCTCAACCTTTTACCTGCTAGAATTACATATTCTGATTACCCTAAAAACTTGTTAGAGCCACCTCGCTAGTAATTAACTGTCTTAAATTAATAGTAATTAAATTAATTAGTGGCTGATTATGAACCAGCGATCTTGTGGAAGGGCTTCTACTAAACTTGCCTGGATATCTATTAGACTTCACAGTTTCCAAGTCCATAAAACTGTTACGCGTAAATATGTCGTTGCATGTGTAAGCGGCACCGGCATGTGTATGGGTTTATGACTAATGCTTGTTGTACAGGGGAGTAACTAGGAGAAGAGTCAGGTGCAGATTTCCAGCCTGAATCGCTGTCTGAGCTAGAAATGCCGACTGAATCCTTCACGTGATCTCTGTGATTATATTATAATATCAGATTTCTCATTGCAGCCTGTGCGTGCCATCCCGTCGGAGCGTCTGGGAAGACATGCAACCAGACGACTGGGCAGTGTCCGTGCAAGGACGGAGTGACGGGCGTCACTTGTAACCGATGCGCTAAGGGATACCAACAGAGCCGCTCGCCAGTGGCGCCATGCATCAGTAAGTGGCGAGCGACTGAACTACAGCGCATTATCATTGTTTTTACTTGTATCAACGATTAATTAATCCATATAGAAGTGAGACTAAAAGAAGTCGTCACCTATACATCTAAACTATTAGTGCTATCGCAATTTGCAATGATGAATGGGTTTCGACCGTCTATAGAGAAGCAATCATTGCGTAGCATATCCCTTTTATATCCGACGACATTTATAAACTCGGTGGCGAAATAGCCGGCCATTACCACGCATCGCCCCCTCGAACTCTTTCACATCTATATAACGACGAACGTCTTGCTCGTAGAAAGAATGCTGTAAATCGTGCATAAAATCGTCGCGTCGCATTGTAGAAGATCGGCCGTTATCAGATTGAACAAACCGCTATATTACCCGATACAAAACCAGCCGCTGATTACTTCGCGCGCGATCGTAATAGCCGAGAAGCAATTGCGAGTGTGCGGAATTAGCATATTAGTTGTTAACGAAGGCGTCGTCGGCAGCGACGAGAACGTAGATTAAATTACCGTTTCTCTCGGCGCTGAGGCGCAGACAATGGCCGACGCGGGCCTTTAGCCGTCGCGCGAATAATTATCATGTAAATACGGAAATTTAATGAAAGTCTTCCGTTTAACGACGCGAGGCCCTCTTTCACGCGCGTGTCACATCTGCGAGAACGCGCCAAGATTTATGAAACCGAGAGAGAGAGAGAGAGAGCGAGAGAAAACGCGCGCGCCGCACTCTAAGGCGCGCGCACATGCATCGTCGGAGAGAGACAGCTTCGTTATCGATATATCGGAGGGGTAGTCGCGCTGATATCCATGATAATGAAAACCCCAGAAAGAAGCTGACGGGGAAGCGAAGACGGGGGGGGGAGAATCTCCGCCGAGAGACGACGCGACCTGCAAGGCTAGGTGGTGGCGGCGAGAATCGAAGCGCTGGCGGAATATGAAAGCAGCGTCGCCACAAACTAGACCGCGGAATATCATTGACACACTGTCGGCGACGACGGCGCGAAGCCGCGGCGCGTAAGCTCGTTAGCGACGCTCTGTTGTCGCCGCCGTGACTATAGGGACCTTAGTTGTCGCGGGAGATTACGCGGCGGGTACGCACGACGCGAAGCGACAGCCGCCGTCCGCGGTGTTTAATAGATCCAGCGCTATACACATCTACAAATAGAGGCTATATAAGCTAGTATACGTAAACTAGAGGCTGTTTGCCGGCATTCGTGAGCGTTGTTGTTTCACCGGACGAGTATCGGTACACACATTCACGCGTCGTAACTGTGTGACAGGATCGATATCTCGATTGATATCGATAAATTCCCTCGTCGATTAATTAATTCTCTGATTGATTTTTTTTCTTGCGTGCAGAGGTACCGAAATTCATGACGACGGAGCCGAGCAAGGGTCGCGACAACAGACCCACGTACGACAGTAACCGGGCCACGACCAGTAGAGGTAAGCCAGCTGCTGTTCTTCCATGTGTTCTGCCAGTTGTTGTTCTTCCAGCTGTTCTTCCTGCTTTGTTCTTCTTCCACACTTCCAAACATTTCCCGGGCGCGCTCCACCTCATGCCGATTGAGACTCCAGTTCGGCATTATCGAATTTCTGCCGAGTCGTTTGTCGCTTTTTCCCAGCCTCACGGCGTTGCTATAGCTCTTCACGCGCGTGCACGTGACGCTCATACAAGCGCGTCGACGAAACCCGGCTCTTTCGGAAACACAGCCGAGCGACGGTTTCCACCTGTTCCTGGCTGTTAATCGCCTACTAAATGCGCTCCTCGGTGTGCAATATGAAAAGCATCGAATGACTGGCGTGCATGTCGTTTCCCTGTCACCGTATTTCCCAGCGGAGCGCCGGATTAACCATCGGTGCGGCCAACCAATAACCCGGCCAGCCGATCCACTTAGTGACATCAAATGCGCCTTAAAATAAACACTATTATTAAATCATAACTGACAGAACGCCGCGCTTGGCTTCTACTTTATGAGAGAAGTTTGAAAAGCCGAGGGACCGGAGCTTCCAGCGAAATCTGACGATTACGCATTTCCGTTCACCTCTATAATGATTACGTCAGCGCATGTTGCAAATGGCGGAAGATTGGCGAGCCACGTAGTGTTCGTCTGCAAGTCGACGCGTCCTCTCTCAAAACGATCACAAGGGGGTAACGTTTTTTGTTTCTTCCGGCTCGGAAAATGATTGACAGAATCAGCCAACATGCGTCTATAGAGCATATATATATATATATATATATATATATATCAGGAGTCTATTGATAGACGCCTGCATATATATAGTATCTGTATATTATACACTCCTGATTTTATCTGTTTATTTCTAAATGTTAGTTAATATAATAAGTAGGTATTTCAGCGATTCTTGTAATCTCCCAATTCCTGTTTTCCTATCCTTTCCTAGAATCAGAAATGTAAGTTTTTGTATTTTTTGATATTTTTAATAAAGATTCCGATTCTGTGATGTGGCCTGAAATTGCCTCTAAGGACACTGAAAATTCCAAAACGTCTCCATGTCGAGCACCCTCGCCTACGCAAGGACATGCCAGGTGTCCTTCGGGGTGCCATTCGCCCCCCATTCGTCTTATTATTTTCCTATTTTTTGGACAAATACCATTTTCATCTCTGTAGAATGCACCCGTGTTGTCCTTGTCGCTGTGGTCGGTATGGTGGATAGTGACAAGTATTTTAACATACAATATACGATACCATAACATAATTTATAAGACGTTCTTGTACAAATGTTTTTGCTAGAAATTTTCCATTGCTGCATGTACACAGGATATGATCATGAGAAGAATTATTTAAGTGGTACTTGGCTAGATGTTGAGGAGGATGAAGAGGGTCAGTAGTGGGTCAGCTTCTTGGAACGGTGTCTGGTTCCTGCCTCGTATATAACCGGTTTCCCTTTAGCACAATGAATCTCTTTGAAGTCGCGGTTTCTACCTATACGTTTTATCCGTGGAATTGCTAATCATTTATGGCAGTGCTTTTCAAATCTTTTTGTTGTGAACCGAAATTTAATCTTTTCCTAGCCAGAGGTCCCAAAAATACTAGTACATCAAACACTGTTAAAAAATGTATTAGGAAAAAATACATATATATATTTTTTTTTTTTATATAGATAAGCATTTATTAGAAATGATGTGAAGAGTTTGAAGGAGCAATTAGAGATATTGGTGACAAGCTTAACAATGTAAAATAATAGAGCAATAGAAATAGACGTAAAATAATAATTACTTTTGAAAACATAAAACATTTAAAACAACTATAATTCATAGAAATTTTCTTTCATTTTCGGGAGCAAACTTGTGTTCACATTTCTCGGGAACACTCCCATGTCTCTCATCTGGGTCATGATGACCTTGGGGTTTCGGACCTACTGGTTTATGGGATGTTACACCACAGGCGGGGCGGCGTTAGAATGCTATCCTCTCCAGTGCACATGGATAGAGTTTCTACGAAGGTGATAATTCTAGCGTCTGGAGGCTCAAATTCTCGACTGAGCTTCCATATGTCTTTGCTGAGTTACTCACCGAGGTACAAGCATGTAGACTGCTGGCACTTGTCCAAAACATTTTAACTCGCCCCGAATACGTTGCAGTTGGCAAGTGAATGAGCAGAACTCGCAAACACGTTAGTTTTACTCACGGTTGAAAAATCCGACACAAGACCACGTGAAAGAATCTCAGTCATCAAACCTTGATAACAATTAAGTCCTCCCCCCATGAGAAATAATTCGTGCCTCCCCTTGCTGCTACCTTTACATAAGATGAAGAGTTGACCAACGTCATCAATCAATAATTTCTCCATTCTTTCCATGTGCGTTTACATCATCAATCTTTGGTTCAGCATCGGACATGTAATCGGTCTAGTCTCGTGAATTAAGCAGTGAAACAGCAGATATATGGTACACATCTCTGTTGCAGCAATCTCATGTATGTGTCTTTTGTGTGTGTTTAGAAAATGGCATATTGCTGCAGCTTCATGTCGTGGGAGTGAACAACTTAACCAGTCCATGACTATATAGTATTAGAAGAGTCTAGTGAGAGGGGGAGTTTGGAGTTCAGTGATAGGCAGAGAATAAAGAGCGGCTGTCCGTCCCATACCATTAATTATAAACTAAAATATACTATTAAACCTGCGATTCGAATTTGTCACGAATAACTCGTTTCTCTCTACCGCTATCAATCTTAATTACACTTTGCGTATACGTGCTGTCTACCCATGAGTCGTTGAAAGTGAACCACAAACTATGCTATTCGTTTATGGGGTGTCAAGCCACAGACATGCATTCCCTCTTTAGAATACCATCAGCTCCAGTGAACATTTGCATCTCTATAGCTACCATAACCTTTACAGCACTACATGGTCCTGAGAAAAAGTCCAAAATTTATATGGAGATTAATATGCTGGGTAAATGTGTGTACGTTACTTGAAACGGGGGTGGAATCATACATTTACTGCCCTGCATATTGCAGGAGCAGTTGAGTAGACATAATATCAGGAGTGTATCAATATTGATACACTCCTGATAATATGTTCATTATGTTCAATATTTTTCTTACAAAATCAAAATCAGAATCAGGTTAAAAACATTCGGATAACTGTTTGTTAAGCAGGCAAAAGTGTAGAACGCATGTCGCTTCTTGTTGACGTTATATCCAACAATAGAAACTTCTTCCCAACCTCGTGAACAGTTGTGAAAGCGGCAGAACTGAAATAAACCTCACTATTATTGCTAGACTTCTACACAAAAACTCTCACTGCGCTCTACCATTTTGGCAAAACTCCAGGCTACTCGACTTATTCTTAATATATTCCGTCTTGTAGTAATCTTGTTGGAGTAAGCTGTATGTTGGGGCATGTCCTCCTTTTGGTCAATCACCATTGCAATAATTACTACTATAGACTACTTATACATACATACATACATACATACATGTTTACGTCTGTGCGTGCGTGCTTGTGTCCGTGCCTGTGTGTGTTTGTGTTTGTGTGTGTGTGCGTGTGCGTGCGTGCTTGTGTCCGTGCCTGTGTGTGTTTGTGTTTGTGTGTGTGTGCGTGTGCGTGCGTGCTTGTGTCCGTGCCTGTGTGTGTTTGTGTTTGTGTGTGTGTACGTGTGCGTGCGTGCTTGTGTCCGTGCCTGTGTGTGTGTGTGCATGTGTGTGCATGTGTGTGTGTCTGTGTGTTTGTGTGTGTTTTTGTGTGTGTGTACGCGCGTGCATGCGTGCGTGCGTGTGCGTGTGCATTTCTGTGTGTGTATTTGTTAGTTGATGGTTCATTTCATCGTGCTGCTACGTTGCAGGCGTCGGCTACGGCACGGTAGCCGTAACAAGCATCCTGTGCATCTACTATAACGTGATCATAGCGTGGACGCTTTACTACCTGGCGTCGTCCTTCGCGACCGAGGTGCCGTGGAAAGGCTGCCTCAACCCGTGGAACACAGCAGCGTGCGGCAAGCGCTCGCAGCTCGTCAACTCTACGCTCGACACACTACAGAACTACACGACGAACATTACTCTGGTTAAAGCGAAAACCTCGACCGAAGAGTTCTGGGAGTAAGTGCGCGTGCTAGCTGCGCGCGTCAAACGCGTGTGATCGTGTTATCTGGAGTGTCTAATATTCTGCTTCTTAAACTATTTCAGTATCATTCGCCCTCGAGTCTTTATCACAAAATTTCATTCACCCGCGACTAAATTTCCTTATGTTTTATGGTAAGTTTCATTCGCCCCAAAATAATTTCATTTACCCTTGGGTGCGTGAATCATTCACCAGTTTAAGAAGCACTGGGAGATTATATTAGAGTACATTGAGATAATGTAGATCTATATTATGGCACTCCTGGTGTTACGTATGCATATTTTTCCAGGGATTGTGTTGTAATTTGCAGGAATACGTGCGTAGGGCCATGAACCCAAGCCCCCGAGTTCATCTGAGTCTCACAACCAGCATAAAAATAAATGCTTACGATAAACGAATAAGGAGGCGGTGCTTTTTTTAGGTGGTGGGGGGTGTAATTGACTCCTACAGCCAGCAGCTTGTGGCATCCTGCTGCTGCTGCTGCTGCTGCTGCTGCTGCATCTACTGCTGCTACTGCTACTGCTGCTGCTGCTGCTGGTGGTGGTGCTGCTGCTTACTGGTGCTGCTGCTGCTGGTGCTACCGCTACTGTTGCTGCTACTGCTGCTGCTATCGCTGCTGCTACCGCTGCTACCGCTGCTGCTGCTGCTGCTACTGCTGCTACTACTGCTGCTGCTGCTGCTACTGCTGCTCTACCTGCTGCTGCTGCTGCTGCTACTCTGCTGCTGCTGCTGCTGCTCTGCTACTGCTTCTGCTGCTGCTGCTGCTGCTGCTGCTGCTGCTGCTGCTGCTGCGGTTCCAACTGCTACGGCTGCTTAACGTATACGATCTATAT